AAAGGGGGTCGTATCAAATCCACCTTGGGGAGGAGGGGGGTCGTAAATTTTTCTTCCAGAAAGTAACAACGATAGGACCGACTTTGCTCTGAAGGACATTTGGAGCAAGACATACTAGCAATGTGTAAAATAAGTGAAACAAATTGAGTCATGTCTGAGTTCGGGAACATACAGTATTCAATGAGTTCTTTATAGCCAGTAGTCAATCTCATTCAAAAGATTCTATGAATTGAAATGGATACGTGAGAACTGCTTGACTAATCCCGACAATTCGGATTCGTGACCTCTTTGTCGGTCTTCTGCAAGCCTCCCTAATCGTTAGGGGTCATCGAAGGACAATGTGCATCGTAAGTCCGTTTAATTACGGTAGCTACAGGTGGCAGCTGCCGTTCGCAACAGCTTAGCGCTTCTGCCGTCCATCATACACTGCCGCCATGCAGAACCCCTCCGCTATCCACAAACTGCTCTTCTCAATTTGACATCGTGCTAGAGATCAGAATATTGTGGAAAAGACATTGGGGGTGCAAGTCGAGAATGGCTTACACAAGCAAATTTCTCATTCAAAAGTTTGGGAGACGAGGAATCAGCCTAAAAACCCTCCAAGTGGCGAAACTAGGTGAGAATTTCTGTCATGTTGTTTTCTTCATGATCAGATTCCCTTCAGAATATACAAAACTTTTCCAGGTTCCTGCCATTTATATCACTATATTTCGCCCTCTAATAGAACTAAAGAACATCTGAGAGGGAGGTTTCCTGATGGGAACCTGATGCGGGAAAGATGGACCCTTCAAATAGTTCCAGAAAACAAAGTATACCAATTCAGATCCTTACCATTCCTGAAGTCCACGTGGTTTCCCACCTCTAGTTCCTATGGACCAGGGCTCCCCTGCGCAACGAGCCGGTGAAGCCTCATTTGTGAGCAGCAGGTGTTTTTTCTCGGAAGCTCTAACCAGGTGGTCAGTCTGAGCATGGTATACTCACGGAGCATGACCGTTGAATGTTTCTCTCCTCGAATCGTTTTAACCATTCTTACCGTATTCACGTCCATGCGGAACTCAAACATCCAGCCATTCAGAATTATTACCGGCAGGGATTACCATGCATTCAGCATGGTAGTTTCAAGTGCTTTTATAGTTGAATATGATTAATCTCAATTTCACACACGCACACACGACTCTCGTGCCCTGTGCCATTATCGTCGATCCCATTGTGTGTGTTGATGGGGTACGAGTGCTTGGGGAGGGACCTCATAGACCAGGAGACCACCATACTCGCAGTATACAAATATAGTGACTCGAATGAATAGCGGCCATTGTTAAGACAGCCGATAGACGAGCCCTATTCGCATTTCCCTCACCTACCGACACGTACCTAAACGCTTCACAATCAGTTGCCAAGGGGATTCTTGAATGTATTTCCTAGTCCTATTGGAATTTTTCCATTGCTCATCGAATTATTCCATTGCTTTGCTGCCATCGTTACTCGTCTGACTTTGTAGAGCATTCACGATGCCTTTTTACTCAATATCGCGATTCGAAAGCTTTGTGGTCAATGTACTTAAGTACTGTCATTCCTGCTTTATTAGGTTGTTAGATTATATTTAAACTACTTATTGAATTCTTTGTCGCAATATCAAATGCAGGCGAGCAACGGTCTTTTAAACCTTTTCAGCCCTGAATTTTTTGGTGAGAAAGAATTACTTCTGCTATTGCTTAATAGTTATAAGCGCATATATAAACACAGGAATAAAATTTGGGATCTTTTTAATCATAAATTAAGGAATTAGGAAGCTGTTAAAATTGCCAGTGGCGCGGGCAAAGAAAAATTAGTAACGTCTCGAGCGCACTCTAGCAGAAGTGGTAGGAATATGCAGAAGACCTCTGAATTTGATGGTGTCAACTGCCACCGTCAGGGCCGAAAGGGTTGAAGGAGTACGCTAAAGATGGTACGGCACTAATCACTGCTTTCCCTTGGTGCACCTCTATGATAGACTTCCACGAGACTTGGTGTTCGCCTCCTTCACGAAATATTCCAAATTTCTGGTTCTAAATATGAATAAAATGGAAATTATGCAGTGGTACTTTAATCTTCCCCTAAACTCGACTCCTTACATGGAACATCATACCTTGATGTGGTCTCCAGGGAAACAACAACAACCAGCTTCACGGTATACAGCATTATTTTTTTCGGGTCATGCAGATGTTTATCAAAATATCGCATAAAAATAATCACTAGTCATGAATAAAATCGTAAATTGAGCATCCTATAGGAATACGGTAC